TGTGCATACACGCCGCCTTTCACACCAATGCTCCCAGGTGATTCTTCATACCAACTTGTTGTCATCTTCGGGCGGGAATCCGTCTTCGGAGCTGGGGCGTCTTCGGGGAATCCGTCTTCGCTAGGCGTCTTCGGGGGGGAATCCGTCTTCGGAGTTGGGGGCGTCTTCGGGGAATCCGTCTTCGCTAGGCGTCTTCGGAGGGGATCCATCTTCGGAGTTGGGGGCGTCTTCGGGGAATCCGTCTTCGCTAGGCGTCTTCGGGGGGGAATCCGTCTTCGGAGTCGGGGGCGTCTTCGGGGAATCCGTCTTCGCTAGGCGTCTTCGGGGGGGAATCCGTCTTCGGAGTTGGGGGGGTCTTCGGGGAATCCGTCTTTGCTAGGTGTCTTCGGGGTTCATCAAACATACACAGCTGCGGCGAATCCGTCTTCGTTAGGCGGATGCGTCTGCGGGTGAAAAAGTGCCCCCGCCAGGGCGGCTGCAATGACTATTTTTTTGACACCCGCATGATTTGCATGCTTTAGTCTCATGTAGTGCCAGCAACATGAAGAATACATGTCCACGAATAGCACAAAAAACATATGAAATTGTGGATAGTGTACCCCACTGGAAAAAACTAAACAAACACATCAACTATTCATCTAACAATAGTAATAGATAGACGTATTGCATGTATTGCATCATCCTGGACCTGGAATCGGAGCTGGGTCTGGAACTGAAAGCCAACCGCTCTGCAAAAACTAAACGTGGTTAGGTTGACATGTTGCATGAAAAGTAGAACTGGATCTGGAACTCCACCTCTTTGGCAGAAATAGCAGCTGATTAAGTTGTAGAGGGAGGACGTGCTATGAGAACAAAAATTTGTTTCTCCGACAAGGATTCAAACGTGTTTACCCCAACCGCCCTCCATGCAGTACTTTTGTCTGAGTTGGTCGGGTCGCATTCCTGTTACGCGCCACTTATTGGGCCGAACCCAGGAAGGCAAAGAATAAATATGCCACCGTGATGCCACCTGACTTGTGACCAACGACTAGCGAATTTATCCTCGTCCCCGCTTGCGCTGGAAGCGCGCTGGTCGTCCGAGGAGGGTGCCGTTGACTCCAATGCCAACTTGTCCAGCTGCTTCAATGGGGCGTCCTGAATGTAATGGAGAAAGACGCTAGAGCCCCATCTTTCAAACAACTGCGTGCGCCACAGCTCTATGTTGCGCTCGGCCACGAAGCGCGCGCCCGTCGCCCGGGCGCTGTGTCCCGTGTAAAGACGGGCTCCATTGCTGCGCGCGATTGGGTAGCTTGAGGCGTGTGGCTAGCCTTGGTCGCAGAAGTGCCAAGATCTTCTCCAGGTGAAAAGAGGTTGATCTGGATCTGAGGGCAGCTCAGCCAGTAGCTCTGGAATGGACACATGATGCATACCGCACGAGCACGTGTGACCTCTCTGCTCCTAGCGCCGCCTGGTCTGTCTTCGAGCTCGGAAGACGCCAGGTGATCTTGCGACCTGCATGGGTAACAGTGATGCGCTTCCTTCTTGCCCTGGATGCTTCGATCTCGCGAAGTAGCCACCACGAGGTGAGTATGGTTGCCGGCACAGCCTGCTCAAGTGGGAGACCACCTGCCTGCTTCGGGCTGCCTATGCCCCGATTGCAACTTCGTACTGCCGGTCGCTTCATGGGAGTCAAAGTGCTATGTGGCAATTCTTCGCTGCATCCAGGTAGAGTTGCGCGGATCTATATCCTCCAACTTTCAACGCCCCCATGACCGTGTAGATCATGGAAGGGTCTGAGTGGAATGGATCAGTCCGCCCCGCGGCCTTGGCAAGGTCGCCCACAGCTTCTGTCACTACGGCGAGTGTGCTGCCTCAGATCGGGCCGCCCGGTTGATCATCCTGGCGAGGCCTGCTGCGCTGCCTGCGCCATTCCCTCCTGCCGGGGGAGGTGCGCCCGCAGCAGCCCCGGTGCCCCGCAGCCGCAAGCGTGCAAGCTCAAGCTAAGCGCAGTCTTGGACCCGACCCTGGATGCCGAGATACAGGCCTTGACAGACGCCGAGGTGACAGCAATGTATGACCGGTACCGGCATCGCTTTGGAGACTTCCCGTCCACTGACGCCGACGTCAGCCGGGACACGTGGCAAGAGACCCGCAACGACGTCGGCTAGAGTTGGCAAAGGATGCGTCCGCAGAGTCTTCGAAAGGGCCCCTGGCATCCAGACACCTCCTGGATCTCTAGGCCCGGAATGGTGGTGTCCCATACTGGCCTCGGAATTTTGGCAACCCCGCAGGATCGCCCAGCGCTGCATTGAGAGCCGCGTTGAGCCTGCCCGCAACTCCGGCCCATGCCCTGGCATCATCCAGGTTGTTGACCGCTTGGAGTTCGTCTGTGGTTGGGTGTTGATCCCCTCCTGCGTAGGTTCCTTGCCGTAGTCGGTTTGGATCCACGCTCGTTCCTCAGGCTGTAGTCCCTGTAGTTTGGCGCATGCCAGAGCGATGCGCCGCCGCCGGGCTCCTGATAGCTTTGAGCGCTAGACGCTCCCAGGCCTGCACCGTCTCAAGCTCGGACCTCACTGGACGCAGCCTCTGTGCAGTTCGGCAACAGACGCAGCCCAGCAAGACCCCGAGCGCTCCGATGACGAGTCAAGAGACCAGCAGAAGTCCAAGGACAACCCGGAGTTGTCTCCCGGACTCCCACTCGGCTCCCAAATCACCACCTCTGAGACCATGCCCAACTTGTGGTGCCCTGATGCTTGAGCCAAAATGGGATGAGAACACCTCATCCACACTTCATCCTTGTCACTACTACATTTCATGTATTTTCTCCACAAAATAATTTGACACATTGCATGCACAAGAAAAGGAACATGTGTTGGAAGGTGTTGTTATAAAAATGTTTCCACTCTGTGTGCGAAAACAATGGAAGGACCAAAAGCGGTATGGTTGTGAAGTGAGGGACCTTTTCGCAGCGTGGTTCATCCAAGTCCTTACGTTTTCCAAGTGGGGGAAGTGGTCGGTCCAACTGTCATCAATTGTGCTTAAGAAGCTACTTGGCATCGCTACTAGGAGCAAGAAGCCACTAGGGGCTCCTGGCCTTACTACTAGGAACAAGGACGCTACTAGGAGCAGGCTTGTGTCCTCTCAACTAGAAAAGGCTTGCCTAGAGTACGCGGGATCGAAAATACTATCGGGAGTTCTGGACCTTGCAAAGCGGGGCAGCGTCGGCGCTTGGGCTTAAAAGGCAATTTTCTGGTTTTCCAACACCAAACCAAAACGTTTCTTCTATGGTTCTATGGACAGTGTGCAAGACTCTCAGTCATCCTCAACCCTCAAAATGTTCTTTGGTCCTCCTCGAAATGGTATCTCCTTGATCGTTGTGAAGTTTGCTTCAAGCATTGTCTCGTCAGTCGGGGGTCTGGTTCAGCATGAAGAAGTTTTTTGTGTTGACGAACCGGCCACAGTTTTACATTTGCTTGCTTCTGACCTTTGCGGACCAGGATCCTTCCAGCAGCGTCGTGAAGCCATAGTTGGTCACATTCTTTTGGAGATGCGCACCACATTCCCACCTTTGGGTTGTATTTCGCTCATTGAGCACTGGCACGCCATGAGCTGCCAAGTTGCGCAAGCCTTTTCCACAAGCGCTTGAGGCCATTTGTAAACTAGGTCACGTTAGTAGTCCAAAGGCACTGACAATGGTGCCGTCCGTCAACGACAAGATTGGCAGGTTCAGCAGGAGCGTCTCCAAGCCAATTGTCAACATCGTCGGTCGACTGCTTGCTGGCCTCGTAGAGTCGTAGAGGCAAGTGCTCCTTCAGTGTCTCTAGGCAAGAATCATACGCTCAGCGGCCCCAGCCACGCTCTGTCACGGCCACTGCAAACTACGTTGCTTCCCGATCACCGGATTCCGGTATTTCCCGGCCAGCTTCCAGATGCACAGCGTTACCGCTTCACAATGCAGCTGCGGCTGCACTTCCTCACTCACTCCCTCACTATATCTGTAGACTCCAGCTAGGCGCTGGAGGCAAAGCTGGGTGAAGACGCACTTATTCATCCTCTCTCAGCTTGCAAATGCCAAGACTACGGCCTAGACTACAGTAGATCCTTCAAAAAACGGATTATGATTTTGGAAAGCAATCCGTTAAATGCAAAGCCATTGAAAACCATGTGAAGCAAACAATAGATAATAAGGGACTGTGGGACAGCCAATGGAAGGAGTGTATGCTTCCTCTCGGTACTATCTGACTGACACAATTATGGAATTATGTACACGATGGATGAATGGATATTGTGCGAGCAAGCAATCGCTGGGTTCGCTTGACAACTCCCTTGCTCTGAAAAGGATGATTCATTCCCGGGCTCGACTTATGGTCTTGTATAATCGCTTGTCTGGCATGGTGTTTGCAAACGGTGAACTCAGCAATTGGATTAGCATGCTTTTCACTACAGAAGCCAGTGTCTGGCTTTATGAGCAATTGAAAGAAAGATAACAAGGAAAGGCCGCAAAACACACTACTATGAAAGTCACTAAATTTGAAAGTCAACACAACGCAATAGGGTTCATATATGTATTTTTGTTATTTTTGGGGGACAGTGGTGGTATTTAGTGATGGTTTGCACAGCCGGATTGACATGACTAGGACGCCACCCTGGGCCTCAAACACAACTCGAAAAGCACTGAGGCACTACTGGGACAACCACTAGTCAGCATAAGCATCTAGGAGCCCTTGTGGGGCACGACTGAGGCTCGACGGTGACATCACCGCCACCTGAAGGTTGTCTCAACTAAGATTAGACCTCCACTCGCCTCACTTAAGCTGTCTTGCCTTGGACACTTGATGAACACTGTGAGAAAAATGCCGCAACAGCTTGTGATGGAGGAAGTTTGGGCAAGGTCAGGTAGAGAAAGGAGTGATGTAGATGTAGTGAGATGAACTAAATGGATGTGCCCGGTGTTGTTTCTGCACCGAAAATGACTCCAACAACTTAGTATGTTTGGCAAACATGCCACTTGCAGATCTGACCTGCGCAACACCACCTCCACCTCCAACACCAAAGTCGCCACCCTGCGAGCACTGCCAGTATCAGATTGACATGTCCACTCTCTTGCTGTGGTTTGAGGATTTGGAGCTGGGCAATGCGTTCGTTGGTTTACCTTGATTCACCTTCACTCCGCAATTGAACCAATCGGACTGTTTTGTGGTCGCAGCCGGCAACTCTTGAAAAATCTGGCGTCCAGAATAGACCCAAGACTACGTGCAGTAAGACCACATGGGTTCATTGGAAGAGATTTCCCTTGCTCCCCCTCTCTATCTCTCTCTGATGGTTTTAAAAGACTATATATACATGTAATTATGAAATTGTAATCACATAGAGAACTGGATTCCACATCTCAACCGGCTGTATAGCTGGTCTTGCCTAGCTTCCAAGCAAAGGTCTTGGGTCCATCTGCTCCGCCAACCCCCGTCTGGCAAATCTCAACAGGAGTAAGTGCAAAACTTGCAGCACTTCTGCCAATAATGGGGCATGAACAGGAGCAAACCCTTTTCAGGTCGCAAGCATTTGGCAGCACAGCGCTGTGTGTTGACCTAACGTTGTGTGCTGAGCTCAGAAGTCACTGTCAGTGCAATCGCTTCTTTCGACTCAAAGTCCTGTCATTCTGGCCACACAGTCTGTTCCAACAGTGTGGGGCGCAAAGCCCATCATTGATTATTCTTTTATGAAAGTCAAGGGCAAACCTCCGACCTGCAATATTTGTTTGAGGAAACACTTGGATGAAAAACGATACAGCTGTGAATACAGTAGCTGAAAGCCGCTGAGCACCCTTTCCACTCAGCTTGAGACCTATGCGGTTGGTGTGATACATGCGGACATGTGCAATCCACGGCTGGTATGTTTAGACGTTTTGTGGTTTCTTACTGAAACCTGACACGGCCCTCACAGCTGTTGGGATGCACATCATGCAGGGTCGCATGATCCTTGTTGATCGTCCCCTGATGTTCCCACATTCTTCTGTGTGGTAGCACTCGCCTGTCTGCGTACTGCCCATTCCTTTCTCTCAAGGGCAAATCGTGCTCTGCCCATCTGTTCCAGCACCCATTCATTGGTTTCTTTATTCACATCTTCAACTTGCCTTTCCCATAGGCCTAGGCTTGCTGCCTGCTTTGCTCGTTCCGCGTCTTCTTCGAGGCGCTTCATCTCCCTTGTCTTTTCATCTTCTGTGCAACTCACCCTCTTCAGCTTTCTCATGGTCGCTGTGTACTTTTCATGAAGCTGAAGCTCATAAAACTGTCCTCGTAGGTCAACTCCTTCATCACCTCTTTTCAAAGCTTGTTGCGCCCACATCTCTTTGTCTTCCTTTTCTTCTTTCAGCCTTTGAACCTGATCTGCAATGTAGTCTTCGAGCTGAATGATCTTCCATTGCATGTTGACTTTCTCTTGATCTTCTTCATACTCCGGTTCTTCCGGTTGCTCACGCGCCGCTCGATCGAAAAGCTTGTGTTTTCATCTCTTGCTCACTTTCATCCACTTCTTCACTTCTTGCATCTTCTTGCTCCTTGTTGAACTCGTCTTCTGACGCTGTAGGGCGAAACTCGTTGGTGATGGGCGTGAGCAGTCAGATCAGAAGACGCAGGAGAAGAGGAAGAAGGAAGACCAGCAGAAGAAAGCAAAGCAAAGGAGAAAGAAGAAGCCATCAAGAGTGAAGAAGAGAAGAAAGAAGAGAAGCGCGTTAAGATGACAGGACGGCCACATGAGGAAGAGAGGAAGAGGAGAAGGCAGACGAAGAGACCTTGGCAGTGATGCAGGAATTGTCAAGGCAGATGGAAGCGCAGGAACGGAGAAGTCACAGTGAGTGGGCTCACCAAGTAAGAAGCCGAGAAGAAGTTACAAGATTGCAGAGTCAACCGGCTGCACGACATAAGAGTCTGGCGATGTTGAGGTTGAGGTGAAGAACAGCAGTAGTGAGAGTGGAGGTGCGCAAGAAACAATCGCGCGTTGCATTGAACCAAAGCAAGAGCCCATCAAGCTGTCCGATCGCCCTGAATGAATATGCGTTTCCAGTTCAAGCACGTGCGTTGAGAGGCTACATCTGCAGAGAACGGGCATGGTTGGAGCGTGTTCCTGGTTGGCGGGCATTGCCCAATGGGATTGTGGTGCGCTCAAATCCTCAAGCAACCCATTTTCACGAACCCAGGACAAGCATCGGTGATGAATGGTCAGCACGCATGACACTGGCCAAAACAAAGGATGGAAGTGGTGCATGGGAGCAGACTGAGAATGTGGTTGAGTTGAGTACAATAATTACCAAAGACAAACACCGCTACCTTATCATCCTTTGCCTTCAGGTCCGAGAGCTACGCTGACTTTCGTTGCGCCCGGACTGATCACGACCTCAGAAGGCACCAATCAGTCAGTATCCGTTGTTGTCCGGAGAGACGGCTTCGTGGCCGGCGGTGAGCTTTGACTTTGGATTCACCCACACTACAGCCGTTGAGGAGGACACGCAGTTTGGGACAGCCTTGTATGTGGCTGAGTCAGAGTCAAAAACTACATTGCGCATTCCGAGAGAGGTCGACAAGGCAAGTGTTGAGGGCACCGCAACACGCACGAGCAACATTGGGGTTGACAACAGAGATCAGGACATTCTCAAGAGATCAACACGCTTCTAATGGCCCGCGAACTTGTCAACACCCTCAAGGCATTTGCTGAAGAAAAGACTGGAGTGAAGATCACAGAAAGCCAAGCATGCGTTGCTACCCTTGGCCCTTTCGTCACGCTGGTTAATCTTGAGGCCTCCTCATTCGAGTTCCTGACAGATCGCAGGTGTATAAAGGCAAAGTCGTGTTGCGTGGAGAAGTGGTCTTGTTCAAGGATGTCACAGCCATGAGGCACACTCGTCAACTGTTGCGGCTTGCCATGGCAGCTTCCAGCGCAAGGAATACTGACGAGGCTAGCAGACAAAGATTGGCAGATGCAGCAGCTGTTGGCAAAGGAATAGCGCTGGTGCTCTATGAACCACTCACTCCAGCGCTAAAGACTCCAGCCGCCAGGACACCAGGACCAAAGCCTCCAGCCGACTACTCCAGCCAGACCAGAAGTGAGTGAAGCTGTAAAGAAGAAGGCATTAGAGAAGGTTGAAGAGAGGAAGAAAGGAGCCAGAAGACGAAGGAGAACCGAGAGAGCATGCGAGGAGAACCAGCAAAGCACTTCGTGGAGGCCGCAGAAGTTGAAACAAGCCCCCAGAAACAGAATGTCAAAGAAGAGAAAGATGAAGGAGCTCAGGCAGCATCAAGTGCGGAGACGAGTCTTCCAGGAAGACTTCGTGGGACAAGGAGGACAATGAGCAGAGACCAAGAAGAAAGTCAGAAGTGCGCAAGAAGAATTGCCGGGGAGACTACATGCTTTGTGAAGAACTCTTGCAAGCGCCGCTTGGAAGCGGCTCTCCTTGCGCGTCACTCATCTGAATAGCTCGACCTTCACCAGGTTGTCCAAGCTGGTAGAACGCCCCTGGCGCAACTGAGACATCTGCACCTGAGTCGAGCATCATGAACACTGAAGGTAGTTCCAGGGCTACCATGTTCTTCACCATACACACCTGTAGTGGCTTCCTTTCACGTCTGGGCTACAAAAGTCACCATGATCCGCCTCCTCTTCTTCCCCTTCTTCGGCTTCACCTTGGCAGTCGTCTTGGGTGAGATCAAAGATCTCCATGGTGGCCGTCGGCGCGACGAGCCTCACCCCCCTGACACCGGCTTAGTAAGTGGCGCGGGCAGAAGGACTCGTTGACGCCACTCCATTCTGACCTGTTGACGTCGACGAAGATGAAGTCTCCCCTCCTTGTCCTTCAGCTTCTTCAACCTGATTCTGCACGGCAAAATGCCCTGCTTTCCCACAGCTATGGCACGCTATGGAACCTTTCCCTTTCTTGCCGCGATTCTTTCCAGCTGTCTTGAAACTAATTGAACCTTTCTTGTCCCTTTGACCAATAACCCTTTCCTTGCCCTTCTTCCTTCTTTAGCCACAACTGCTTCGACGTCCATTGAGCCTCCTTTGTCATCTTCAATTGGCTTGACCTGTCATTTGCTCGCCAAGCAACTTTTGAGAGACCTGCTCATGGAGTTCCACCCTGAGATCCTCATACGATGCGCCATCCTGCAAGTTCATCTGGATATGGAGCCTCAGGGTTCACGGAGGTGCCCACGAACCATCAAGTCAAAATAAAACAAATGCTCGGCGACGCTCTTGCGTGGATCTTCAAAGCTTGGTCTCGGGCCAATGAAGATCTCGTGTCAAGGTCCTCCAAGCTTCCAAGCCATTTTGATTGGCTATCCCTCGAACCAAGCCTAAAGGTCGTTGCTTCATGAGACCTGTCATGCAGGGAGTAAAGCCTCTTGGATTGGGCGCGAACTTGGGGCCCAGAATCATTCACAGCTGCTTCCTCGTCTCGAACTGACACCTCCAGTCCATCCACTTCCCCAACTCCTCCGATGCGGGGCACTGCCCAGCAGAGCTCCGCTACCATGAAAACCGTTGAGCACCTTTTCCATTGCCTTTTCCATTCAGCTTGAGACCTTTGCGGCTGGTGTGATGCATACGGTCATGCGCAATCCACAGCTTGTATGCGCTGATGTCTTGGGGAATCTTACTGAAACCTCACAGTAAATCAACGTTCACACAGGTTCGTAGTATGTTCCTTTCTAAGAAGGCGACCGCACTGCCGACGCAGCTATCCTTTGCCTGCTTAGGCGATGAAGTCGTCCAAGTCGTTCTGCAAGGTGTTCAATGGCACTTCTGATGTTATCTTCACCTCCAATCAATGGCAGCAGTGCAAAACACTGAGGCGCGTGTCAGTAGGACAACTACGGTGAAAGGGAAAGGCAACTGCCATTTGCAGTTTCCAAAACCCGCCAGAATGAGTCTTAACCTTCAATACGTACCTGGCATCGTGAAAAACAATGTTGGTCTATTGATATCTTTTGAATCTGGTGTACGCAGTATATAGTCATATAGTGTCTTCAGCAGTGGCTGACAACAGGCCAAACCCTGAAACATAGAAAGGCACATT